CGTTTGAAACAAAAGAAAGAAGTGTCTTACCTCAAATCCAGGGGACGTCGCGAAGAACCTTATGGATCGGGGATCGATGGGTATCCCCGAGAAATCCTCGGTGCCGGCTGGGGACCGACCGGACGCACACCCGCGTGCGCCCCTTGCACCGAAATCAAACTTCTTATATAGAGCTGACATATGCAAATCCATTAGGAAATCATACATAAACATACAAATTCCCGAAAATCATTAGCATATTCTCCTCCCATTTCCGATTCTGCGCAATAAAAGTTAGAATCATCGAGAAATGAGTCTGGGGTATAATATGGGTAGGTGGTCTGTGAGTCGGTGGTCGCGATCTCCCCCTGCCAGAATTACCTTTTGCTTAAGTTCACGGTTTCTGGCAGGTACCTATAAACCATTACGAAACTATTTCTGTTGGTTTTCTTCATCTCCATTAATCTAAACCTTGATAGCTACATGCATTCTTCTAATTCTATGTAGGTATCATAAATCAGTTTATAAATCTACTTGTGCTTTGTACTGCACGTTTCTACTAAATGATTCTGACCTGTCTCTTTGGTCCTGGTACAGTGCTTTACAGGAATTTTTATAGCAGCATCTGGTTATTGTATCCCCTTTGGTCCTGGTACGGTGCTATACAAGAATTCCGTAGCAACACTTTTCATTAAAATATTTCTTAAAACTCTATATTATTAAAATCAACTACTAACTACTAATTACAAACTATTAGTTAAATTTTAATTACCAAAAATTCTAAGTATCAGTAACAAGACTGGTAAATATTTCTAAAGCAAAGGAGCTATTAACAATAACAAATATTTTCAAAAGAGCTACTCAGAAATCGCACTCATCATTTTATTGAAATTCCAACTTTAAAAACTACTTTGGAAACAAATTAAACATGTCTTACAGAATGAAAGCTCTAAAAAATACTATGACATTTTTTAATGTGGTTTTGATAAAACATGAATATACAGTAAATAAGCATAAATGAGTTTTCTCAACACTGTCTTACACATTTCATTGAAAACTACACATATCTATGAAATTTTCACATTTTAAATTTTAAAAATATTCCAAATATTTTCATATCAGATATAAAAAAGGTGTGGAAGTTTTAAACTACTAGGATATTTATGGTGCAATAGAAACAATGGAAGGCATCAATCCTCCATATTATAGGAAGAGTTTCTATTCCAATATAGCACTAAGGTTGGTTTCAAAAAGTGGGGATTTCGATCTCTCAACACTTGCAAATAAGACTTTGTTTTTCTGTAATTTACACTACGGAAGTAAATAACTTCTTACACACATAACACTCAATAACGTTTTTATCCAGATTCAAACAGGGATACATACTTACAAATAATAGCCATTAAGGAGTTAAAGTTGCCAATGTTAAAACATTCCCTTGCCACTTCAATGAAATATTCTATCACTCTTGCTCTGTACTTCTTCTTCACCGGCTGCAAGAAACGCCATTGGAGTGTTACACTCATGTGGGAAAATGACTGAAATTGGAGGGGAATGGAAGAATATTGTTCCCTAGAATTCAGCTAATATTAGAGCAGCTCTGACATGAAGCACAGCTGCTGCTCCCAGGAACAAACAAGGCCTCAATATCCTTGAAATGGGGAGTAGAGTGGTACGGAGGTATCACGGCTCATCTCTGTTATCAGGGATGAGAGGCGCCTGGTAAAGATAACCATAAAAATGCCATCGAGGAAAGTGAATCACAACCGCTGCCTCAGCAGTGATGGCAAAATTGTGTCCTTCAGCTACTAAGTCACAACTCCACCCGCCTCCGAGCTGCGACCACCCCTCAAATGAGCAATTTACACCAATCCTAATAAAAGTTATGTATGACTAGAGTCACTTGAGCTCCACCTAAAAGATATGAAAAAAGTATAAAATAGCAGCAAACAAAGGGGATGTTAGGGAGAAGCCCCCCCCATCGGAACGTCTGGGATCAGTCGACGGGCTGAACCTCTCTTCTCCCCCCCATAGGGACGCCTATTGGGTAAGAACTCTGTGTTATGTGCACTTACTTACTAACATCTTGCTAGCTATTTAATATTATCACTGATCTGTAATTGTTTTATATTATCACTGCAGTATTTCAATTAAAGTAGTTTTTGTAGTCAGTCACTATCACCGGCTATCCTCGAACCTGTATTCTGTCACAAATAAAATGTACATGTATGTTTCCGGAAACTTTTGAATTATTATAAGGAGTTGGCCCATGGTACTACTAGTGACGATCCCTAATAAGTGGGCGAATCACCCTCCGATTCACTGAGCTGCCAAGGGAAGGCAGGGGGAATCGGACCCAAGGGTCTCGCCTGACTTGGGAGCTGGTATACTGGCCAAATTACCTCCTGTTCGTCTATTAGTGACGGATCCCACGATAAGCCAGACGAACAACCCTCTGATTCACTGAGCTGCCAAGGGAAGGCAGGGGGAGTCGGACCCAAGGGTCTTGCCTGACTTGGGAGCTAATAGACTAGTCTTTTGACCTCAAAATGTGACACACTCAGCAGAAAACAGAGCACTCTGACCCATCCCGAAAAGAAACACCATCCCTGTTAAAAGTCTTTTGCACATGTACCACAACTTCACACTATGCTTTACATGTAGAGGAAGCCACACTATTGCATTCAAAAGTCCTCAGGACAGCAAAGACAACCCACATGCCTGGCAGGTAGAGAGCAAGGACAACAGGCAAAGAAGCTCTGTCAAGAAGAAGGGTATGAAGAACAGTAGAGCAGAGAAGAGGGTCAGCACAGAGGAGAATGAAGATGCCTCCATTCACAAGAAGCATTCACAGGAGAGAAGGGCAGGCCAGACGCACTCCTGTGCCAAGAAGGGCTAACACAGCATGACGTCACCACTGCATCACTTGAACAAGGCTGAGGCATGAGTATGATGCTGAAAACACAGAACTTATTTCCTCTTCAGCCCTGTGCTGACTGCATCCATGTGTGAAAAAGTACAGAGCTGAGAGAATGAAACATCAAAGGGCACACTGAAGGGGCACCAAACCTGACAAGGCTTCACAGTTTTAGACAACGAGAATAAACAAAACCTTTTAGCCGAAAATGTTCTTGCTCACCATACAGATTTCTGTTGCAACTAAGTAACTGAGCCTATTATACCATTCCACACAGGCTTCCAGATTCCTGGTCTTCTTTTGATCTCTGTAGCAGCTCTGCAGACAAGAAAAATAGTAAATCCTCATCTTTTTCTCTGAGAGAGACCTTTTGGCTTTCTGCCTTGCCATCCCCAAACACTGTCAAGTAACCAGGAATAACTCAATTACTCAAAGTGACAAAAAGCTTAGAGGGAAAGCAGAAGTGATAGTATTGGAGCATGCGTAACTTCTTCCTGAGCTGTTGGGTCAGTAAAGCACACAAGCAAGCATGCGGAATCCATCACCTGCTGTAAGTCCTACCAGGATGCTTTGAATTACAATAGACTTGTGCAGACAATCAAACCTAAGTATCTGCTTAAAGCTTCCTTGAACACGAGCACTGTTTCAGTTCTCACTCCTGTCCCATTGACTTAGTAGAGACAACATTATGCCCTCTGCAAGCGCAAAAGAAAAAGAGACACCAGCCCACTCCACTGTCACATTATGTTCAGTTGTTGATGCTAAATTAACATACTGCATCCCAACTTTGAGAGATCAGCTCTACCATTTTGATTGGATTCTCCCTTTCCCAACCAGTGTGATTTGTTCTGTAGTGTTTTGGAATGATTCCCAGACCACATCTCAGGGTCATCTAAAAAGGATTAAACAGCAGATTTAGTGATCTCTACCTACAAAATAATTTTCAGAGACTGTCTGACTGAACATCAAATTGTAAACATGAGTCATTCTATTCTGTTTGTCAGTTTTAGGGAGAACAGTAATTCAAGTTTTAACTGCCTGACTTTGGCACAGTTTATTTACAAAGCATAAGTCGTCTTGAAAGCAGCACTCAAGGAGATGACAACTCTAGCACAGTTAGCTAAAAACACTCCATCTTTGCCCTTCATCTCACATGGATCTAGAGCTCACTGCATTCTTTTTGTGATGTATGCTCTACCTGCAAATTGCCCCACTTGCTAGTTTGCTGCAAAGAGTTCAGTTTTCTAAAAGGAAGAACAGATGTTGAAAATGAGCAACGCAAAAGTCAAACTCAGCTTTTTGCAGATATAGGCCACATAGATGGCCTGGAGAAAGCATTCACAGGATTAAGTTCTCCCTTAGCTTAAACGAGAAAAACCAGCAAATGTGTTAATTTAAGTCAATTTGTTGGCTGAATTCTGGAGCTCCAGGAGTTGCCCTCGAGAAAGCATCGATAAATTTTTTAAGAGCAATACTAAAGTATTTTCATTATATAGCTCGTTTCTGTCAGACCTCACTTCTAGTTCATGGGGCACCTCAGTTCCAGGATGTTAAATGCCACATTTCAGAGCTGCTCCAGATCTGCTCCAATTACCTTGTTGTTATTCAAAAGATCCTTTTGCACAAATGCCTGGACAAATTCTTCTGGTCCAATGTAATTGAGTCTCTCCTAAATAAAGCACACAAGCAGCCAAGTCATATCCTGTGTTAACCTACATTTCAAAAAAAAGGGGAAGGATGAAATCATACTTGAAGTATCACAACTCACAAGCTCTATATGTGTCAGCTGCTGAGCTAATGCGTAGGTATCACTGCAGACTGTGATTATATCCTTCTGGATGGACTGGGGCTTGCTCTTTAGAACCATGACATGATCTGTGGAAGGGGCATTCATTTTTGCAAGTACTTCCTCATACTGGCTAACAGTGGCAAGCTTCCAAATCAGGTTCTGGAGGAGCTGCTGTACATTCTTCCGATATATCTGTCATGACATGAAATAACTGGGAGACATTTTCAAAATTTGGGAAGACAATATTAAAGTCTGCATGACACCAAAACAGATTCATGCTGATACCTGTATTGGTTGTGAGTTTCTAATATTGGCATTTCATCAGATCAAAAAGAATCCAGCCGAGGATTTAAACACTGATTGTCTCACAGATTCAATAGTGACCTGGTTAGCTGAAGGAAAAGACATGCACCATCTACTGCATGAAAAGTACCACTAATCACAGGACAAAATACAAGAAATTAAAATACTCCTTCTCCTGTTTAAGATCACATGAAAAAGAATAGACGGTTATTCAATGACGAAAAAAGAGCCTACTTCTCTCTGGAATAAATCAAGACCCGTTTCACTGAAGTCAGAGTTCAAACTTGCAGTAAATCTGAGAAAAAAGAAAATAATAAAATCATCTCTCTTTTCTTTCACCTTGCAGGTCTTTCCATGTGGTGGTTTAAGTTAAAAGGATTGACAAATTTAAGCAGGAGCAGGGCTCAACTCTTAAGTAGATAGATCTGTGTAACTGACTCCAAGGTGGTTATTCTTCCAAATTCCAGATATCATTTTGTCATTAAAGTAAAACCTAGGTGGCTGAAAAAAGGAGCATCCAAAACCTATTGGCAGCACAGTATAGTGTGAACAGTCCAAGGCAGGAATGTTTCCTGTATTCTAACGAATTTGTCATTCACTCCAAAGATGCCATTTATATGGATTTCCAAATTTACCCAAATATAATAGCACCATCTTGGATCAGATTAATTCTTGAAGTTAGTTGTGTTCAACCAAGGCTGAATTTAAGTGGTAAATAATTGCTTTCTACTTAGATGTATTTTGATTTTCTAGACAAATACATACAGCACAATTTTTCACTGTGGTGGGTGAGGAGAGAAAAGGGAGATCTCAGGCTTTGAAGGAAAAGGATCTACATTTCCCCAGGAAGGCATAGATGTATTACTCCAAGTGCTGCGCTTTCATATGTATGTATTTTATGCTTTAATGTCCCACACGACATCCTTGTCTCTAAACTGGAAAGACATGGTTTTGATGGATGGACCACTCAGTGGATAAGGAATTGGCTGGAAGGTCGCACTCAAAGAGTTGTGGTCAACGGTTCAATGTCCAAGTGGAGGCCAGCGACGAGTGGTGTTCCTCAGGGGTCAGTACTGGGGCCAGTGCTATTTAACATCTTTGTTGGTGACATGGACAGTAGGATCAAATGCACCCTCAGCAAGTTTGCAGATGGCACCAAATTGTGTGGTGTTGTGGACACGCTAGAGCGAAGGGATGCCATCCAGAGGGACCTCGACAGGCTTGATAGGTGGGCCTGTGAGAACCTCATGAAGTTCAACGAGGCCAAGTGCAGGGTCCTGCACATGGGTCAGGGCAATCCCAAGCACAAGTAGAGGCTGGGCAGAGAATGGATTGAGAGCAGCCCTGAGGAAAAGGACTTGGGAGTGCTGGTGGATGAGAAGCTCAACATGAGCCAGCAATATGTGCTGGCAGCCCCGAAAACCAACCGTATCCTGGGCTGCATCAAAAGAAGTGTGGCCAGCAGGTCGAGGGAGGGGATTCTGCCCCTCTACTCTGCTCTCGTGAGACCCCACCTGGAATACTGCATTCAGTTCTGGATTCCCCAGCACAAGAAGGACATGAAGCTGCTGGAGCGGGTCCAGAGGAGGGCCACGAAGATGATCCGAAGGCTGGAGCACCTCTGCTATGAAGACAGGCTGAGAGAGTTGGGGTTGTTCAGCCTGGAGAAGAGAAGGCTCTGGGGTGAGCTTATTGCAGCTTTTCAGTACTCCAAGGGGGCCTACAGGAAAGCTGGGGAGGGACTTTTTACAAGGGCATGTAGTGATAGGACAAGGGGCAATGGATTTAAACTGAAAGAGGGCAGATTTAGATAGGGAAGAAATTTTTCACTCAGAGGTGGTGAGGTACTGGAACACGTTGCCCAGAGAAGTTGCAGATACCTGAAAGCGTTCAAGGTCAGGTTGGATGAGGCTTTGGGCAACCTGGTGTAGTGGAGGGTTTCCCTGCCCATAGCAGGGGGGTTGGAACTAGATGATCTTTGAGGTCTCTTCCAACCCTAACCATTCTATGATTCTATACACAGGTGTTAGGTGACACACATGCAGATGTTCTTCACTGACCCATTTCCTTCCAAATTACTTGCAATTTCATGTAAGATAACTTTATGAAGTATTTTCTTGCCCAGCTAGTAATCAACTGAGAATGAAAAGATATCTAAAATACTCAGGATGAATTCTGGCTACTGATGGAAATCACATAATTATCAACTGGTTAATCTTCAAAGCAAAAAAAAAAATAAACCTTGCCTGAATTTGTGGTTCATGTCAACCCAGAACTGACAACAAAATCAGGGAGACAATGCGTGAAAACCACCTAATTCTAGTCAATCTGCTTCTGCAGCTGGAAAACTCCAGAGAAAAGGGAAACTGGCACAGATACACTTCAAACTAGAAAAAAGAAATCAGGGTAATTAGCCCACATCCGACCTTACAGCAGTTCAACGGAACAAACACCCCTCTGTCCAGTGATGAGGTAAAATCCTCTCAGCACAAAGGCAGAAGGAATTGCCAGGTTCCTCTCTCACTTCACAGATATACCTGAGCCCACAACACCAACATAGCTCTGCTCTTTTGAGCATCTGTCTCCTCTTGAGGAAATAGGCAGTGCCCTCGAGGCATTATGTGTGAGGGTAAGTACGTAGTGCACTCTGCACCCATAACAGGTGTTTGTTGCTGGACCATTACTTCATCTCATGCATTCTTTTAATATCATATACATATAGGTACATATTTAACAACACACCAATGAACTCACAGAATATGTCTTTTATCAATTAGACACTAATTTGACTGTTGTATGGCCACGGGTCAGCCTAAACATATGGTTTACCTCTAAATTAGGTTTAGTCTTTCCACTTATTTGTACCACAGTCTCATTTCCGATTCTATATTCACACTGACAATGCTGTTGTTTATTTATAATTGAAAATCTCTGAGGATTGGACAGCATGGGAAAAAATGACGGGACACTCCCCCTCAGTGTCACTCCTTTGTAAGTGTCCTGTGTGGCTAGTGACTGAAAGCACCACTACTACCTGCTAGATATGAAATATCATATGTTAAATGAGTTTCAACAGTCAATATTGAACATTCAATGTTCAACAGCCAACGATATCATGATGTAAAAAAAACGAAGAGAGGTCACTGCAATGTCAGGCTGCACATGAAAAGATACCAGCATACAGGACGTGGCTTTGGTGTGACTGCATAAACTCATTAAGAGTTTCACAGAAAAAGCCAATGTGCTGGTTTTATGGGAGGGGCTGCAGAAATGGCCCCTGTAAGTAGCTGTGAAAAAGCTTGATATGCTGGCTTTACATGGTGGGGTTTTGGCAGCATGGGAGGGGCTGTGGAAATGGCCCCTGTAAATAGCTCTGAAAAGCTTCCCCAGCTCCAAAACCAGTTGGACACGTGAGAACCTCCTTATCCCCCCTAGGCCAGGGCTGAGCCAATGAACACCTCTGCGAATGCTCTATTTAAGACGGGGACAAAGGAGCCCAAAGGGAGGCTGGACCTGCACTGAAGGGAGGGGGGAAGCGGGGGCTGGCCCTCTGCAGCCTACCAGGCGGGCAGCTGCCCACACTGGGCCACCACTACCCGACTGAAGATGGCTGCAGCAAAGAGAGGTCTGAGACCTGAGAGAAATGGCCACACAGACAACAAGGAAAGTGAAGATGGCATGGGAGGAGGTGTGCTGGAGCTGAGATTCCCCTGCAACCGGTGGTGAGATGGCAGCGCCCCCTCTGCCACTCATGGAGATTAACAGTGGAATGGAGATCCACCACAGTTCTTGGAGAACCCCATGCTGGAGCAGAGATGCCTGTGCCTGAAAGGTGTCGTACAGAATGGTCTCCATGAGCTGCTGGAGGCTGACAATGAGGCACAGAGGCATCTGAAGGCTATGGAAAATCCCCTGCCAGAGGGAGTGGCAGCTCCCCAAGAAGCTGTGACTCCATGGGGAAGAAGCCCACGCTGGTGCAATCTGATGGGTAACGATTGCATCCTGTGGGAAGGACTCACCTTGGAGAAGTCTGTGGACTGTCCCATGAGGAGAGAATCCATTGTAGCAGGGGAAAAGAGCGTAAGGAGTCCTCCTCCTTTAAGAAAGGAGCGGCAGAAACAACGTGTGATGAACTGACCTGCAACCCCCCATTCCCCAGCAGTGCAGGTGGAGGAGGTAGAGCCGGGAAGAAGGGAAGACTGAGGGGAAGATGTTTTTGAGATCTGGCTTTGTTTCATGTTATCCTCTCTGAATGAGCCGTTAACAAATTGATTTGTCCCCAAAACTGAGTCTGTTTTGCCTGGGGCCACAGTTGGTGGGTGCTCCCTCCCTGTTCTTGTCTCGACTCTCAGTCCTTCCATTACATTTTCCTCCTCTCCACCTCACTGAGGGAGAGGGGTGAGTAAGCGGCTGAGAGGTGGTTCAGCTGCCGGCTGGGCTGAAGGGTGACAGCCACTGATAAATGTTTATATGGAACTAATCAGGAAATGGCAGGCAATGGCTGGTGGGAAAGGTTTCAAAAGCTACACCTTGAAACAAAGGTCAGTTAAGTGGTAAAAGGGACCAGAACAATCTAGAAATACCTCAGGAGCACGATGACCTCTTAGGACAGAGATGGAAAAAAGATGGAAGGAATGGAATTAAACTGAGGGACAAGAGAAGAGGAGGCAAAAAATAAATTCACCAAGGTTTTTTCAAAGACTTTTTTTTATGGAGCAATATATTAGTATGGTGAATGCTTTTACTTGGACTCTTAGAGCTCTTAACAATACTGGAGCATAATAATTTGGGAAGTGGAACAAGAAGCTACAAGTAGAAGAGCTGTAGTGAACAGGAATAGGAAACTGCTTATTTTGCATTCTTCAAGGTGATGACTCTGTCCTTGTTTTAACTGGTACGGAGTTAGTTTTTCTTTTTAGCAGCTAGAGTAGCACTGTATTTTGGATTTAGTATGGGATTTGTTGCGAGAAGAATGTTGATAGCACACTGATGTCGGTGCTCAGTTACTGAGACAGCAAGGACTTTTCAGGTTCCCCTGTTTTTCCCAGTGTGCAGGAGCGCAACAAGCTGGAGAGGAGCATGGCCGGGACAAAGGGCCCATAACTCCCCTTATGATTTGAACTTCAAATTGAGACTGAGGGCCAAACTGGACAATGGAATATTCCATATGATGCGACAATATGCCCAGTATATAGATGAGAGTTGACTGGGAAGTTAGATCATTCTCTCTTCTCGGGAACAAAGAGACTTGGTCTCTCAGTCTCTTGGAGTTCTCTCTCTCTTTCGCTGTCTTTTCAGGTCTCACACTCATCTAGGATTGCAGTGTCAGGACTTATCTGTTTTGAGATCGCTTGCTGGGACAGGACGAGTGACTGTCACCAAATGGTGAGCAATTACTCTGTGCATAATTTGTTTGTATATATTATTATCATTATATATCTTATTATTTTTATTCTTATTTCATTGTTATTACTTTAAAATAACTATTGTTGTTGTTGTTATTATTATTGAATCATTCTTACATTAACCCATGAGTCTCCTTCCCTTTTCCCCTTTAATTCCCTTCCTCATTCCCCCTCTAAGATAGAGCTAGAACAGATCTATAGCTCTCTGCCAGCGCAAGATCGTTCCCTAGCACTCATTTTCTATCAGTTCATATGTCTGCCTTTCCTTTCAATAGATGATTTCAGCGTTTAAACTGTGTGTTCTGCCAGAAACTTCACTGTAGACAGCCGTTCCCTGTTGCCATTTCGCTCTTGCATCCATCAACTCAACCTCCCCCAGGCTAAACAGCTCACTCCCTCTTTTTGTGCCAGTGGGTATTTTTCAAGTGGGTGTGAGTCCTCAATCTTACTACTTTTCCTTGAACTAAACTTCAGTTCCCTATCTTCCCTATCTTCCTATTAAGAGTACCCAGAAACAAAGCAACAGTGCAAGAGCATTGTACAAGGAAAGGTGCCTCCTGGCACCCACACAGTGAGGATAAACCTATTGCCTCTCCACAGTCCAAAGCCCCGTGTAGCTATGATGCAGCAACTCCAAGCTTGCCCATCAAATTTGGTATCTTTTTCATTTATATTCCATACTGCATGTCACTCTCTTGTCCAATCTTGTGTCCCTCCCTACTTTCACAACATCAAAATGTATTTCAGCTTCCAAATTCAGTTTAGGTTTGTTCTCTTCCATCCTTGTTTACAGTCTCTCAAGATCTTTCCAGGCCTTTGACAGCACTTGAAACTCCTCCCAGTAAAGCTTACCTACATGCTTGTTAATATGCAGTTTCCTGCCTTGTCCATATTGTTATTCAAAAGCTTCCATAAGGAACACCAGCCCCTGAGGAACACTAGAAACATGATGTCATTTAGCAATTGCTCTTTGCATTTATAGTTCTTCCAAATGCCACTCTTGTGTCTGCTCTAATCCTAGGATTATGCCAGCTACACACGATCTGCTTATTGGAAGCTTGTTAATTGCCTTTCCACTAAATGAATAGAAGCCTTGGCGTTCAGCTGAGTTTATTTCAGTACTTAGAACACAAGCATCAGTTAAGCATCAACTTTACTTCCATCTGAGAACTTAAAAAAAGGTCAAGTGACTTCCTCGTGTGCTCCATCCAGAGGAAGGAATATGACAGACTTCCTCTGAGTCTGTATCTAATGTTTTAAGCTGAAGACAATTCTTCCTGATCCAGTTTCTTTAGAAACTTTTTTCCCACATGTGCTAGAACTCTTCCATTGACCTGCAGGTCAGAGTCTCGATTCCAACACACCTTACTCATACATATCAAAGAAATTACCAACATCGGTAGAGATTTCTCAGATATGCAAGGCTTCCCAGTGTCTTACACAGCTTCTTCCAAGCAGAATCACTAAAATGAAAAATACTGACACCCACCAGGTTTTATCTGTCTGCACAATATGCAATTATATAGAGTTTAAAGATGGAGTGAACCTTGCCTGTGCTTTGAAAAGGATCTGCTTATGCTGTGTGGCTTCTTCCTAGTCCTAGGTACCGGACAGAACTTTTTGCCTACCAGCACCTTCACAATAAGTTAGCTTAGCCACCCAGAGCCACACCATATTATTAACAACAAGAAACCTGCAACATCAAAGCATTGAAAGGAGTGTCTTCTTATCCAATAACTTTGTGCACAGACAACTTACCTCATCACCACTGGCTATTCTTTGTGCCAACTTCTTTAAGATCCTCATCATTCTTTCATCTCAGAAATCATAAGGAAATGTCTCTGTCCATTCAGTCAACAACTGTAGAATTTTGGGTGCAATCTTTTGTATCCGGTTCTATGTGAAAATGGTAAGGAGGAATGTTGTGTGCCACAGTAATACAGCACATATTTTACCTAAAGGAAATAGAATTCTGTTCCATAGGATATTGTGGAGGATGAGGGTATGAAGGTCAGTTAAATTTTTAAGATTAATTTGATTCAGCACTGGATTACAGGCCAGTCAATACCCATTGAAGCCAATGAAGAGACTCTCATTGGCCTAACTGACCTGGTTGTTAGGGGTCAGCTGAAGAACAGGAGTTGCTAGATGCTGGAATGATTCCCTTCATTATCAGGAGTGTCTCAGTGCAAGACATTTATTAGTGTTTCCATAACCTGTGGCTAACTATCAACAATGAAAGTGATAAGCTTCAGTTCTGTCAAGGCTTATACACACCTGCACTTCATAGTGAGAAAACTGTGGAATTATTCAAGTATCTTAATTTAATTTGTGTCATTTTCTACTGGGGTGGAGTTTCTATCCAAATGTCCACATCCTGCCCCTTTTCAACTCTAGACATGACACACAAAAAAACATGCATTCCCATGCAAAGGGTCCAGCAATCTAAGCCACTCCATAAAGACTCTAGCAAGAGTGTAACAATGAGACAGGTTAATCTAATTCCCATTGACGTGCTTAATTCATAGTTCTGCCTTTCCAACATTTTGGCATTATATGTCAAGACATTTAGAACCCTGAAACAAAAGGAACCACTGCAGGGCCAGTGCAGGATACATCATTAACAGCAAGCACTTGTGTTTCTGGCCCAGGTATGGGTAAAACGAACAGTGCAGCAGCAGCAACAGCCTTCATGGAGGACAGGCTGAGAAGTGTGGAAATTTCCCATGAATATCAGTGAATAAAGGGTCAAATTCTAGCTGCTTGTATCAGGATTTCAACCTACTTAAGTTTAATCCTACTGAGGACTCTCTTGAGTAGGAACATTTTGCTGTGGGCGGGATAGAGACATTTGACTGGAGACTGTCCCTGAGAGTGAGGGATCTTACCTTGTCCAGGCCAAGCTCACTTAGTCTCTGCTGCTCAATACACAGATGGCAGACTTTGGCCATGAGCTCATAGGGATGCACCAACAGGCGTGAACTAAGAAGGAAGGTGAAGATGTATGTCCACTGCAAACATGAAGAAAACAGAGAAAGGGATCAATTACCACCAGTTTCATATTTTCTCAAAATGCGTTCCTGAGAAATCGGTTTCTAATACTTTATTATCTGCAGAAGAAAACTCTGTATGTGCCAAGAGCTATTAGTACAGCAGTAACCATTTAATTTAACACTTGTCATCGCTCCAGAATTTGTGCTTGAGCCAAGTTATGCAAGATTTAAGCAAAACAAGGCAGGACAGGGCTGGTTTAGCTCTCGTATTGCACACAGCCTTATCACAAGCTCAGTACCTGAAATTACTCAGAATAAAATTTCAATTCATCTTCTCTTGCTCTACAGTAAAACTTTGTGAGAGCCCTTACCAGATTATGTAAGCCTTTCTAGCTCAACAATAGAATAAAATTCATGCAAATCCAAGCTACTGAAAATACCAACAGAGAAATCTGGTCTGCTTCCACACTGCTAGTGAAAGTAAATAGTCTTCAGACAAAAAAATAAGAAAAGATGTCAGTTGACCAGACTGTTGAACAAACTCAGTTTCACCACATATACCATCTTCACTATGCTGTGCTTTCCTGTCTGACCTCAGCAAACTGCACACTATGACTGTGTACTTCCTTTAAGAATCTCCAAATACAGTTCATTTCTCACAGTATTGCTTATCTCCTGAGTGAAAGCAGAGGGAACTACATAGCTTAATTTTACAGAATAAAAATCAGTAACTCATTTTGAGGTTACAAGAAGAGGCTCCTTATTTTGCTTTAATTTTCCATACATCATGATTTGAACTGATTCTGAGATGGATATTCAAAATATCTACACCATTCCCCACATTGCCAGTGCACCAAGAATCCATGGCACACACAAGAAAGATTCTATGATGTGTTAGTTCTAGGGACTTGGAATATATCATCATGTTTGACCAACTGGTGTCTAAATTCCTACATGTTTAAATTTTACATTAAGCATTAATGGATAAGCAATAGCTTAAGCACAGTCCTGTCCTGCTATTAACTTTGACCCAAGCTAAAAAAGGTCTTGTCTTGGAAACGTGAACAGATCTATGACAATAACAGAAGCTGAATATAAGCGGAGTTATGTCCTCAGCAGGAGGCTTTCAAGAAGCAGAGATGCAGTTTCATCATCCTTAACTGCCACCCCCCCCCACCCCCGCCTTTTGATTTAATTCTTTTTTTCTAAGAATTATGCAAAATGTTTCAATGCATGGATGCATCTAGACAGGCCAAAAATTCTCAGATGACAAACGTCCTCTTCTCATGTCCAGCCTTCCCTGATTCTGAACAGTGTGGAACTAGTTCAACACTTCACTTACTTATTGCAAGATATATGTGAACTTCTGTCATGGTTTGATGGGGGGGGGGTGGTTCTG